ATTCCTTTGTTAAAGTCATCTCTGGTTCTGTTTGCAATATTACAGGAGGGGAATGGCATCTATGACGTTACAGTGTAATGACCTTCCCACTGCATTCTATATTAAATAAAGTTATATTTGTTTTCTTCTTGAATTTTTTGATATATTTCCTTTCACCCTGTAGCTGTCCTACTGAGCTACTTCAGCTTTTCAGAGCTGCCTTGCAGACCCTTTCTCCTTACTTTCATTTGCCTTCTCAGGGGTTGATCATCTGCTTATGAAGTAGCTATTTTCTCTTGCTAGTGTTCATTTGCTGCCTTGACTCCCTTCTGCTTTTTCTTGAAAATGATGGGAGGAAGCTATTACAATAACCATTATAAAATGATGTGGAATATAAATGGTAGCATAATGGCACGTACAGTGGTGTGTGTCAAGGATTCTCATAGAACTGATGATCTTTTGAAGCTTGGGAAGGATGGATTGAAGCTGATGTGTGCAAGGAGCCTTGGAATACTAAAAGTGACAACTGAATAGACCCTGAAGAGGAGACCAGAATAAGAGTGAACTTTGGTGGGAAGGCCAGTTTTAAGGTGATGAGGCAAAAAAGGCTTTGGCAGTCCTACTTAACCAGCTATCCAAGGTCCAAGGGAGCCCCTCAGTGGGATGAGAGCTGTAGTTGAACCTCAGTTTTACACTGAGATGCCAGGTGCTGTCTGTTAGAATTTCCCAACAGAGAGGAGGGTACATGATCATAATAATAAGGCTTTATTATCTTTGACACTGAGCAATGATTCCTCTGATAGTGCTACGTGAAGGAAAAGGTCTTGTACTTATGAGTTCTTCCTCTCTTCAAGTGGCTTGTGCTCCTGCTTCCTCGTGTCAGCTTCTGACATTTTATGAGCTATCCTGAGAATCTGTTCAAGTTCCTGAACAAATAGAAAGTAATCCTGTGCCATTCTAGTTTCCCCTAGTCAGTCCTTCCTCAGTTTCTTGCCCTATCTATCTTCCTTGCTCTCTGCCTCTGCCCCCACCATGTTGGAGTATATAGACTCTGTGTAGACTCTCTGGTATCACAAGAGAAAAGAATGAGGAAGAGTGGGATGGTGGGAGTGAAAAAGAAATGGAGAGTCAGCTGGTTTTTGACCTGTGGCTGTAAGATATTAGTTAACTGTTGCTTTATGGTAGGTAAATTCTTTGGTAGTGTCCAACACAACTAGAGCAAAAGGTGTGAAACTGCTTAACAAGTCTACTCATAAAACACACTTCTCTAGTTCTTAGGGTGCAAGATATGTCATGGCTGAATGGCTGACATCTCTCAACAATAGAAATGCTAATTCTCTCTGAATAGTAAACTTATAGTTACGGCTTAGACCCAAACTTCCCCCTTAACTCCCTCAAAGTTGCTCTCAATTCTTACACAAAATAACTTTCTTAATCTTGGAAACAGACTGAGATTGGTATCAGTACAAATCTGTAAGCGTAAGCTCTGTCCTAATGTTTTTGCATGAGTGCAAGGTATTGAATGTCTTCTGGGGTGCTTTGCGTGATGGTTATTTTAGACAGAAAAGTCTAGACAGTTCTTAGGATCTATTGGACATCTCTACACTTGCCAAAATTTGGGAGGGAGTTTCGTTCAAGTTATACTGTGGTTCCTTGGAAGGATTTTCACAGTATGAATAACACTAACTAGACTAATCTCTCACTTGCTCTGCCTCCCAAAAAAATCACTGCTTACTGGTGTTGTAAAACCTGAGTAACATTCAGCAATTGCTATTTCTGTTTCCACCTTTCCTCATTCTCTAGCAATTACGTAGGTAGGAAGGACCTTCTTTCATGCATGGTTTTGATGTATGTGCAAGAAATAATATAAAGAGTTTGCACATGCAGTTAAACCAAGTGCTTTTTAAACACACCTTGAGCATAAAATGAATAGTTCAACTTTCAGAAGGGCTCGTCAGTGAGTAAAGGAGATAAATATAGATACCTTTTCCAATGTCAGTCTTAATTGTATTTTTTTTTTGGAAATAGAGAAAACTACTTTCTTGCTTGAACCTGCTAATATTGCACTGTTGAAAATGATCTGTCATGTAAGAAAGTGTCTCTCTAAGTAATGTAGACTTGCTTTTTATAGTCTTTAATTCATCTAAGTTTCTCAAAAATATCCAGACAGTGCTAATGGGCAATACCAAATTTCCATGAGGTTCCAAAGTTCATGAAGAAAATACATGGAAAGAACATAGATGTTTGGAAGAAGGAAAAAATGAGCAATTCATTTAGATTACTAGTGACATTTGAATGCTGACTTGTAAAACTTTATTTAAATATTATTAAAATTTCTTGAACTGGGTTATGAGTCCTTTTTCCTCCCTCCTCCCTTCCCTTTTTGAAGTTTTGTTTGCGTATGATATTTAAACATTTCATTCATATATGGAAAATTAAACAATAGGCTATAAATGTGCTTGCAATCTCAATTAAAATGTTTAATATTTTACCATATGTTCCTTAGTAAACATAATAGCGCTAATGTTAGTAAGCTCATCTTAAACCATCAGTGAACATGAGTTTGTGGGTCTGTCTTCACTTACTGCTTTGCATAGTTTTGGTCACTTAAAAAGATGTCTAGCTGAGCAGCTGTACCACTATGTTGGCTGTTTTGAGTCAACATTTGTGCAATTTTATAATATTTTATATTGCGAAATATAGTCCTATAGTGTCAGTCTTGTTTTTAAGGACTCTTATTTAAAAAAAAAAAAATTAGAGGTAGCTCTTCAAGTCTTAATAGACCTTCAGGCACAGGCAAGCATGAATTAAGAAAGCACAGGCAAGCTGAAAGCCATAGCTGTATTTCTGCAGGAGGATACATACATTTCAGTCTCATGTTTTAGCAGAGAATGAGGTTCTAGAAAGTTGAGTCAACACACAGAGGATAGTAGGCTTCAAAAAAACTTAAAAAATAAAAACTACACTGAATGCTGAATGAAGTGTTTTATTTTAGGTGTTTGTGTAATTTGTGATGGAAACCATGGTCTTACAAGGGCAAATGATGGGAAACAGTGGTCTGCAAGGCAGCAATAAAAATTGGGAATGCCAAATATGTGAACTGTGTGTAACCTTGGTTGAGAATTTGTTTTGAAAAAATAAATTGTTAAACAATGAAGGCCAGATATTTTTTATTATTTGTCCTGGGAAAAGAGTTTGTATAGACTAAGGCAGAATTTGGTGCCTGTGGGAAAGAGAATAGTAGACTCAATTTTCAAAATGTATGCGGCTTTGCCAAGACAGATGGGAAGAAACAAGAGTGTCCCCAAACAACTGTAGCCCTGGGAGACCCTGCTTATCTTGCATGCGGGTTTTCCCATTCATAATTATGCTTAAAAATCAAGCTGTGTGCACTGGTAGCTCTGCATGGCAAAGAGTCAAGCTCACCAAGCCAGATGTTGATTTACTGTGATAATTAAGCTTGCCCAAGATGTGTAAAGAGGCATCTGTCCTTATTAACTTCTGGGTGAGCGTTTGAAAGGCAAGTGATGTACGTCAAGTCAGCCCATGCCTTTTGGAGTCCATCGTCTGAGGATCTGCTGTGACTAGGCACTGCAAGGTGGCAGTGACTGCTCATGCTGCTGTCATGAAGTGTATATATTTCATGTGGCTCTGAATCCCCCCTGTGATCTGCTCAAATGTTTTTTTGGTGACAGAGTGTGCTGGGAGTACTTGTTTTCCAGACTGCCACTGCAACTTCATGAGTGGAACTGAGTGCTTCTCTTTTGGCTCTCATTTCTTTGTAGTTCAGGATGCTGTTTGTGTTTCTCATCTGCTGCGTTCGATATCCTGTCCATCTCAGTGGTTTCCTTTTGAACAAGCATAATGGATAAACATCCTTTATACAGCTAAATGTTGTACCTTTTTTTTAATGGAATGGTGAAACAATGTAGCTATTGTGGATGATACAAAGTAGATGTCAAATGTGTTATCTGAATTTTTGCTCAAGTCAACTGTTTTCAATGAACATGGTGTATTTCTTTAAAACAGATCTATTTGGGTCTGTTCCTTTTGCTCTAGCCAATATGTTGAAAGGGAACAGAGCATCAAGAGCACTGCATCATCTTTAAAATAACACATCTATCCAGATTTTCCTCCCAGATTGTTGCTGCTCGCAGGATCTTTAACAACAGAGGAAATGAGCAGAATACCCACGAAAACAGAATTAACACATTAAGTTTAGTTAAATAAGATGAAAACCAGAAACCCTTTCTATAATCACTGGGGAAAACCTACTGCAGAGAACAGGATTATAGAATCACATTTTAAAGTGGGGATTTGGGGGATGTTGCTGGGACAAAATACTCTAAGCTGTTTTAAAAATACTTCTAGATAGAAAAATGAATTAGATTTCATGTTTGTATGTGTTGTTGATCCTTAGCAAGGGGAAGGAATGGCTGCTTCAGGAAGCTGCAGGGTCTCATGAATCAAGGGAATAATGAGATTTGAGCCAAACATCATTTTGATTGCTTTGCCTTTGATTTTTTTTCATTTTGTTTCTCATCATTATGTGCTTTTGTTGCTTTGCTTGTTTAACTAGGCTTTGGATAAGATCTTTGTTCTTGCCTTGACTTGGATTTTTTTTTTGGTCAGTTGTTATTTTTTGTTGTTGTTGCTTTGGATACCCTTCAGGGTTTTGGGTTACCCTGGTAGCTGACTCTATGTATGTCCTTTGGTCACTTTGCCTGTGCAGATACCAGAGGCATATTCTTAACTGCTGAGTTTGATCCACAAGGAGCAGGAAGGTTGTGCATTGACTTAGGTGACCCAAAAGTTCCACATCACTTATATGCTCAGTTTCTATGCCCCTTCTATGCAACAACCTTAGGTGCAGTGCAAGATTCTTTCATAATTTCGCATTGTATATTGTATGAACTTGCAATTTCTGCCTTTTGTAGGGTGGTGGGGTTTTTTTTTCTCTTTTTGTTTTGTTTGGTTGGTTGGTTTTGATGTCCCTTTCTCTCTCTCTTGTGTTTTGGTAGGCCTGGATGATTGCCTGCAGCAATATGTCCATAAATTTGAACGAGAAAAGATTAATGGTGAACAACTCCTACAGATTTCTCACCAGGACCTTGAAGAGTTGGGTATCTCACGAATTGGACATCAGGAACTGGTTCTAGAGGCTGTGGATCTCCTGTGTGCACTGGTTAGTTAAGTGGTGAACTGACATGTAAAGTATTTCTTCCAGTGCTTTTTTGGGTGAATAACCAAGGCGAGACTGATAAAACCAGAATCCCTTTGTTCCCTGCTTTCTGTTACAGATCACAATAAAAGGAAGCAGTAAGAGTTTGTTTAATTCCTGCAAGTTTTGTATTAATAGCTGTTTAACTTTTTCCTAATAAGAGGCGACTTTAATTCATTTGGTTGCACTTCCAACGAATGAAGTTGTCCAAGTGGCATTGTTAGATCTTGTGGCTCCTGTTAGTGAACAGAGTGATTAAAATTGCTAGAGTGAGTTTGTCTTAGAAGGCATAGTGTTGAAATGACAGAAGCCAGAAGTTCCTCACATCAGTTGAAATAGCTTTAGGGCAATTCTGTAGAAAACATATGAAGTGAAGAAAAATTAATTCTTGAAATGAGGGTTGTTTTGCTACCTCAGTTACAGTCTAGTTGAACACTCATTGGATTCAGAAGTTACGCTGTTCCTTTGTCTTACTCCTGATATATCACTGCAGATACTTTTAAAACAAACACGCTGTAGAGGATAAATATATTTTGGATTGTCTCGCTAGTTCAGGCTTTATTTAAAAGCCATAGTTTTGACACAGTCTTGAAGGCATATTTGATGTAATGCTGTCAGTGAGCACCAGAGGTATATATATAATTACATCAAGGAGAAGGGTGGGAAGGCCTACCCAATGATTCCTTGGCCAGCACTGGCTCGTCTTCACTTTGTTAGGCAAGGCTTGCTACACTGAGCATACTCTTCTTAAAATGGAGAGTCTTTATTACCTGTGTGATATACTTTATTTGCTGCAGAGAGGTGCCATAAGGATCATTCCTACTCTGTGACCAGGAACAAATTGGATAGCCTGTACTGAAAGAAGTATATTTAATGAGATCTCTTCATACAATCTGCATGTTTTGCAAAGAGTTGCTCTTATATTTGAAAAACGTTTTATTTCCTTTACATATTTGATCTGTCAAAAATTAACATCTACTTGAAAATCTAATAGAAGAACATAATTAGGCTGAAATGCAGTTTATGGTGTGGGAAGGGATAGTCTGTTGGGCAAGTGAAGGGGTCCGGTGAGTTAATAAATGTACTGTGGGTTGTATACAGTCCTGACTGAAGTAATCTATGTGGCAGTTCCTGAAGGCACTTTTTTCTTTTAAAAATATTAGAATAAAGTGAACAAAGCTGGACAACTGCCAGAATTTAAAGCTGTGTTTTATCTCCTACAATTTCCTTCTAATTTCCTTTGTAGACAAAAGTTTTGACCACAGACCCATTTCTGGAAATCCTTTGTGAAATGCAGCTCAAGTTAATGCATTAGACAGCTATTGCATATTACAGCTGAAACATCCTTGTTCCCTTTTTTAGAGGTGGAGAAAGAATTCCCATGTTTTAGGTATGCCCTTTGCCATCTTATTGATGTCCCTTCCCTTGAATTTTTGGAATTGTATAAAATCACTGTTGATTTTCTTTCCAAGGGGATGCTAAATTCTAGTGACAGCCAGTTTTTTATTTTGTTCTCTCTTGGTTTTGTGTGCGAAGAAAGGTTTCTGGATTCCACCTGTGTTAATTCTTTGAAAGTGGGAATGTGTGTCATTTAGTGTATGTGTGAGTACATATCGTGATATTCCCGTGACTTTTGGGGCCTTGAAAGTAAAGGAACTATTTTTGGATTTTATCTTTTTTTCTTTTTCCTTTTTGTCCCCCAGCATCCCTACTGTGGTATTAGCTCACACTGTGGAAATGTGGCATTGGCTGAGCCAGTCTGAGGTCACACTTTCAAAGTTGTTGTTCTTGGCAGAGAAGGGCTGAGGGGGGGGTTTTGGTAGTTCCCCAGACCTGGCGTTCTCAAGAATTTCCCTTTTTATCTAGTTTTGCCTTGGCAGTTTTCCAAATGAATTTCCTTCAGATCAGTGCTTTGGTTCCCTCACACCACAGGAACACGTGGCTCTAAAGCTACCAGCTTATTTGGAACATCATTCTCCTGTTGAATTCTTTTGAAGCATTCACCTTACAGACCTCTGTTTCAGCCTCAGTAGATCAGTCACAAAAATACATGAAGTATGAAGGTAGTCCTTTCCTTGAGGAAGGACACCAAATACGCCTGTTTTTTTATTTAGTTTTTATGGGGTTTGAATATTATTTGTCAATGCTAAGGTGAACATGTGTCTGGAAGTTATGGTGTGAAAGAGAAATTAATTCATCTTTCTCTGCTGCTTTGGTGATGAAACAGCGTTCCCTCATCTCCTCATAGCGGTGGCCATATGCACAACATCCTGAAGAGGTGGCAGGAGAGTGTGGACTAGGATTAAAAAGTGAAGGTTTCTTCTGAGCACACATTTCTGTTGCTCTCCAGCTGGTTTGACAGAGTTTTCTGCACAGGTATTGAAGACATATTTGAGGAATTTAGAGGATGTATCAAAGGATCTGAATTCTCCAGAGGGAGAAAAAACCCATGAACTTGACTGCCTCTGTCTTTTTGTCAACAGTATTTGCTTGGGGGGGTCAAGGGATGGAAGAAAGACATTTCTGAGTTGACTCTGAAGTATTTGGGGAAGGGGGGAGCAAACATACATAACCGTGCTTTTCAACCACAAAACCAGGGAGGGTAATCCAGAAAACAAACTTTTTGGGGCTTAATGCTTGCATTATTTTATATTTGTTAACAGGAAACTATGCAAATATTTTCACTTTTAATGTGTTCTTTGGATTTGATTTTTGAATCTTTACCTACACTGTGTGATGTGAGAGTTTCGAAGCAAAAAAGCAGTGGATTTTTCGTGAGGTTAGAATTAAGAGATACTAGTTTTATACAATTAAAAAACCCCACTAGAAACCTCATAAACAAAAAAGAACATAGTTCTGCCTTTGATAATTTCACTTATAGTAATGTTCTGCCAGCATATTTGCACTGTAACAAAATATAACATCACAACATAAAACATGCATACATGATTGACTTATCCTTGTTAAAGGATATCTGTACACTGCCTCATGAGATTTCAGTTTTCTAGAGGTTTCAAACTGAGTGCTGTTTATTAGGAGATTTGTTACTCCAAAGGATTCCGTAGGATGCATTGTTGTTAAAAGGACAAGAGCAAGAATGAGTGACTGTGACATTACCTTGCATTAACTCTAGTGTTTATATAGGCATGAAGTGACTTGGATCAGCTTCTGAGCAGGCATTCAGTCTGGTTTTATTCATCTTTTTCCCAGAACAGGCTTTCAGTTGGATCAGCCAGCAGATCCAGCTCATCACATTGTGGGATATGAACATGGCTGTAAAAGGGCAGGAGATGCTGTCCCTGGGCAGTGGCAGGGCTCTGTATCAGCCCAAATCACCTCTGACACAACTGCTGTGCTCTTTTGACTTCAGTTAGCTACATTTTTTTATTTATTTTATGCTAGCTGCCTGACCTTGAGCAATTATTTGATCAGATTACTTTTTCTCATTAAATGTGGTGGAACTTAGAGCATGCTCTTGTGTGCATGTGCTCTCTGGTGCACGTGTGGGTGCTGCCTCTCGCTCCAGCCCTGCATGTGGCTCCCCAGGTTAATGAGTAATAACCTGGGAATGTTTGACATTGGGTGCTCTTGACTGCTGGCTTCAGCCTGTGTTTTGATTAAAACAACTTTGATGTTTTAAATCAGGAGTGATAGGAAAATGTAACCTGTTTCTTTTGTTTGTGAGCAACATCTAAAACCTTTTAGTTGCTTAAATAATAATTTGTTAACTATTGTAGCCTCAGTCCTGTAGAAATATTTCAAGAAAAGCCTGCTGAGCTGTGCGCTTTGACTGTGTGTCACTGTGAAGGCTGTTTGGTGTGCTGCCACGATATCAACATTCCTATCTGTCCTGAGTCGAGGCTACAGTTCCACGAAAAGTTAAATTAATCCAAATCACCTGCTACCTCCACCACCTCCTGTCCTCTGATTAGTGATCTGTGCTTGCACTCACCTGACCCTGAAGTGTGCTACTTCAGGAAGCTAAACCAGTAAAAAGGTAAAAAGGGATTAGATTCCTTTGAATGGTTTAGAACCCCAGACCAGCCCTCCCAACAGACTGGACACTGCAAGTGAAGAAGCAAAAAAAGAACAGAAATAGTTGGTGATGCGTGAGGTGTTCAAGACAACGTCAGCTTGGATAGAAGCATTGCTATATGATGAAGAGGCAGAATCCTTTCTGTCTATTAGAACAGATAAGTGAGGAGACTGCCTTGCCCCTGGAGCAGAGGTGGCTTGGATTGTGATGATGCATTGTTCTGGGGGAGTTCATCCATCAGGGCTGATCAATAGTTGGATAATTTGGTTTCCTGATACTGAAGAGCTGCACGCTCCCTGTTGTGCTGGATAGGCATAGTGCTTAGTCAGGACCTTTCCTAGAGCACAAGCTGCTGTTTTACATATCTCTGGTGCGCTCTGTAGACTCTTTGGGGGAAGTTGTAGAAGAACTTAGAGGGGTGACTGTTAGAGCTTGGCTGTGATGTGCTCTTGATAGTCTGTTGGGTAGACCAGTTGCAATTATGAGCGGCAGCCCCTGCATCTCTAGAGGCAACACTTGTGTTGATGAAGTCTACCTCAAAACTGAGGTAGAGAGATTTATTTAAGAACTACCTCATCTGGAAAAGTTACACCAGACTCAAATGCTGTGTAAATAAGGAATTTGAATAAGAGGTGTGATAAGGAGTATGTGAATGTTTTAGGGCCAAAACCAAAATCTTACCTGGTACGTCAACATGTGTCTTCTTAAATGGTGGTGCCATCTCTAATCTCAAATACCTAGAGATGGTTGGCACAATTCCTGCATCTGAATGACAGAAAGACCTGGAGATAATTATATGAAGACGCAAGTTCTGATCAAAGTTATTAGGTGGTTATACCTCTGCACAGAAAAGGTATTTTGTATTTTCTGTCCCTTTAAGGAAGGAGGGGATCAGTGTCCTCCAAATCCCTAATTTAAGAGGGGATTTTCTGATGTGTGACTACTTTCTTGTGGTCATAGGAACTTGCCCCACATCCAGGCCTGTTTGTGAAAAAGTATTTCTTCAATGATAGACTAATATGTGATGTTCTGTGAGGAGGAGAAAACTGACTACAAGAAATGCATTAGAATGATGCTCTTGTGGTGCTTTCTTCTTTTGCTGTTGTTGTTAAAATTAAAAGGTGATAAGTTCACACATGACAGTGTGCAAGTACTTTAACGTTGTTCAGTAATACAGATATTTCCCTTTCTGTGATCCTGGAAAATTTAAGGATATCCTTTGCTGTTGCAACAGTGGTATTTTTTTGAATTGGACATATCCTTTCAACCCCTACTCCTGGCTGCACTTTAGGGTACTTCCTTGCCAAGAGCCCTGAGGTGGAGGAGGGAGGCACTTGTGTAACTTACACCCACTAGGATCTTATCCATAGCAGGCATTTTAAAGGTAGCCATGTAGCTGAAACCTCTCCATACACTGGTGTGTTTCTTTGGGTCAAAGATTCAGTCTCCTCTTTTGTAAATTACTTAAATCTAAAATATTCCAGACTCTTTTATGGATGCTTGACTGTGGAGGGAATGGAGCCTCAAGCCAGCAGTGTGCATTAGCAGCATCCTGCTCTGCATTAACGGTAAATGGGAGAGGGAGGGAAGTGATTATCACCCTGTACTAGTCATTCATTAGTCTGAATATGCCCCCTGCCCTAAGTACAGGAAAGATATAGAGAAACGAGAGCAAGCTCAGTGGAGGGCTGTCAGGTTGGTCAGGGCTGGAGTACTTGCCCATGAGGAGAGGCTGAGGGACTGGGACTTCTTCAGCCTGGGAAAGAGACAGTTCCAGGGAGGCCCAACAGCAGATCCCCAGCACCTCCATGGTGTGAAACACAGCTGGCAGGATGACAGATCTGGGCTTGCATGGCAGGAAGATGAGAGACTTTGGGCAGAAGTTGAAATGAGGTTCAGGCTGGATATAAGGGAACATTTGCTTACTCTCAGGACAGTCAGACGGTCAATCAAGTTGCCCAAAAAGGTTGTACAGTCTTTGTCCTTGGAGGTTTTCAAGACCTGACCGGATGAAATCCTGAACAAGCTGCTCTGAACTCGCAGCTGAGCCTGCTGTGAGCAAGAGGTTGGTCTGAAACCTCCAGAGCTCCCCTTCAACCTGTGTATTGGGAACCCCTGGAAACTAGGTATTGAATGGAATTAAAATTTTCTTTAGTTGTTTTAGGGTGTTTGTTTTGTTCTGGTAGGAGTGTCTTTTTGCTTTTGTGTTTTTTTTTTTTTTTTTTTTGGTTGTTTTGTTTTTTTTTTTTTTTTTTTTTTTTTTAAGTTTTTTTTCCCTGCCTTTTCTCAAGAAAAGAAAGAATTTTCATTCTAAAAGAACTAAGCCTTGCCTGAGACCTACACAGAAGTTTTACAAGGTGGAATAACACAGAAGCACAGATAAATACATATTGCTACATAATTCATACCTTTGCACACTAACAGTGAAAAGAAATTCTTGATTACAAAACTGAGTTGCCTTCAGAAGAGAGAAGCATTTCTGACATGTTTGGAATGAGATGATCAATGCGTTACTTAAAACAATTGGGGTTTAGTCCTATGGAATGTGGCTTAGTTGTATTTGAATTTATAAAGTTGAAGTTATAGGCAAGAATTACAGAATTTTTTAGGTTTTGTAAATTTTTGTAAAGATGCTGTTGAATGAAAAATGTCTAAAAATGGTTTTAATTAGTATGTGTAGTCTTAATACAGTCTTCAAACTTGCAAATAATTGCACTGTTGTAGTAAAAGAGCACAGTTCCTGAAAACTTGTGATCCAAATATTTACTTAAGATTTTGATTGCAAAATTACATTTGCTTCCTGTTGATGTTTTTATCTCCCACCAGATTTAACTTATCTTTAGTTGTGAATGAAATGTTAGTTCAGTGTTTATGTACCACAGTATAGAAAACATCTTAAGAAAAAAACAGTGTTGGCTTTCCTTTAACAAAAATAAAAACAACACAATCTTGTTATTAACAGGTAAATGACATGTGTTAGGACAGTGGGACTTCATTCTGATTGTGTCCTCAAATCTCAATGTCAGAAACTGGGGGTGGTATTGGCAAAAGTATTCTTTAGTGGCTATAGCGTAGAACAAATCTTAGAAGGTACTTTTGCCAAAAAAACAGAAGAAAACTGTGTGAATCTTCAGACTTTTCGTCCCATACGAGCTTGCAACTTATTGTATAAATAAACAGGAGAACTCAGTGAGGTTATTTATGATGCTTTATAATACTGCTTGCAGAACTATGGCCTTGAAACAGACAACATGAAGAATCTGGTTCTCAAGCTGCGAGCGTCATCCAACAACCTGCAAAATTACATCAGCAGCCGTAGGAAAAGCTCAAATTATGATGGAAATACCTCTCGCAAGCCCCCCAATGAATTCCTTACTTCTGTGGTAGAGCTTATTGGTGCTGCTAAAGCCTTGCTTGCATGGTTGGACAGGTAAGAATAAAATGATTATGTTTTAGTTTGCTACTCTAATGAATTGCTTCTCCTTGTAGGGCAGTTCCTAGATGCCTGGGTGTAAAGATCTCGATCTCAGTCACTCTTTTTTTCATGTTACCAGAAGGCCTCTAGCGAACAAATTTAATCTGGGGTAATCTACTCTTGCACTTCCACTCTTGCTAAAACCAGCAAAACTATTATATTGCACACAAACTGGTATTTATAAAAGTAGGAGTCTTCCCTTTTAGGTCATTTCTCATGCATGTGACTTCTTCTCTTTTCCCCTTCCACCTTATAAATTACTTGCCATTGGCAAGTCCCTATCTAAAAGAATTTTTAATGTTCTGCTAAAATCATGACCTTAGCTATGTTATTTGAAAACTGAGCAGTGGGAGAGATTCTCCTCATGCCTGTTTTGTTTTCTGGTTTTTTTTCTTCTTTTTTTTTTTTTTTTTTTTTTCTTATTTAATTCTTTTTTTGTCTGGAAGGAACCAGAGTTGTTTTGTGGCAGCTATAGCAGGTCAAGTGCTGGCAGGGATGCAGTCCATGATAACAGATGAACATAAATTCTCAAACCCCTTGCTAGCTTTCCTGAGAAGGAGGAGAACTGCACAGGGGCTGACAGCAAGAAGCACTTTTATCCTTCAGTATCCCTGCTCTCAAGCAAGGAATTGATCTGTGTCCAGGCAGTGACCTAACAGCTTGTACCTTTCACCTGGTCCTCTTCTTTCACTATGTTGCTGGCAGCTCACCCTAGATTTTTTCGTAAATCACCATCAGGAAAATTGCTGGCTTGTCCATTTCCAAACCCACTGTTGTTACTTCTCAACCCCTCTTCTAGCTTTTGCAGCTGTCTGGAGGATCTGAGGTAGTACTCTACAGGCTGTAAAGCTACCCTACCTGTAATGATTCTTCTTAAGTCTCACTGTATCTCTGTGTGTAAAATGTGAAAATCCATTTTTCTTCTTTTAGAGAATTTTTTTTTTCTTTGTCCAGTCAGAAAATTAGAGGTCTACTCACTGGCAAAGCCAAGTGTATGATTTTTACAACACAGCGTGACTTGAGCTTGCAAGTAGAGAGAACTGTAGTTTGGAAAACTGACCATTTCTTCTGGTTCTGTTCTCTGAACTTGCTTACCACGGGGATAGACGTTTTCCAGTTTTGGTGCAGTCAGGAATACCCATGTGAATGTCAGAGTTTCAGGGTGTACTCTCATATGCTCTTCGTCACTGATAGGATAGGATTGGAAAAGGCTGGTCCCTTTGATCTAAGGGGAATTTTCTCTTGTTGCAGGACCCCATTTACAGGTATTGCTGACTTTTCATCAATGAAGAACAGAATCATTCAGCTCTGCTTGGATCTCACTACTACTGTTCAGAAGGTCAGCTTATTTCTTTTTGCTTTCTAAAAGGGAGGGAAAGGGGGTGTTTGGGGAAGTAATGTGCTTACTGTGTGCTGAGTGCTCATGAAAGGCAGGTCTGGGAATGAGAGCTTACTTAAACTTCGAAGGTCCATGAAGGTCAGTTTCAGTTGTTTGTTTTTCTGAGTGGTGGGAGTTTTTTTGTTGTTCCTACCCCAATTTCATTGCTGGTTATATCTGAAGTGACTGCAGTTTAAAGGCTACTTATATTTCCTGGAGCTTTATGAGAAAGAGGGTTAGTTTTTGAAATAGTTGATCTGCATTTGAAGATCTTCACATTCCAAACAACATGTTCATAAACAGTTATCAGTGCTAACTCTAAAGAAAACTATGGCTCCATTGATTTTTACATCTGTGCTTGCAGGCTTCATAGGTCTGGTCCCATAACAGAGTGGTTTAACCATCAGATGGGAAATGCTGCATGTAATGGAAGGAGTTGCCACCTTTACAATACAAATTGCACTAGCCAGGCTGCTTCTGCCAGTACTCCAACACCACAGTATTTTTCAAAACTTTAATTTATCAGCTGTGTGAGGAGTACTTGTACAGATAATAGCTGAAAGGACATGCAGCAATACGTAGCATCTTGGCAAATGACATTTTTTTTCTCTCTGAATAATACTGCCTGTCTTCAAAACTGTTCTGAGAGCATACCACTGCTTTGACCGTGAAGCACTGTGTGCACACTTCACTTACTGCCAAACTTGCTCATAACCATTACTCCATGGCCATATATTCTTCAAACTCTGAAGGACCATGTCCTGTGACATGTGTGATTCTCTCCCATGTTGAAGGGATGGTGTCAAAGGACAGAAACATCCTATGAGTTGTCAAGCTATGATGACACCCAATTATGTCAGTTGTATCACTGTCAAAGAAAGGATAGTGTCTGGGTACTGTAAATTCTAAGGTGCATAGGTTTGTCCTGCTGCTTGATGCCCTTCTTGCTTGGGCACTGTGTGTGCAAATGCACAAAATCAGTGATTTACAGCTACAGATTTGCAGATTGTGCAGTAGAACAACAAGTGTTTCTAGCAGCAGATGGTGTTCACCCAAAAGTGCTACAGGAACTGAAATATGGGATTGCTGAATATATTAATAAAACTGCTAAAAATGGTGTCTAATCTTTTGGTTAAGTCAGCATTTGTTGGCAGAGGAATGGAAGTTAGTGAATACTACACCCTAGCCTTTTAAAACGCATCAAACTACTTCTCTGACAATTTGATAGGAACTATAATAAAGAATGGGATTGGTACAGGCAAGAAAAAGCATTAAGGGGGAAGAACCAACACTGTTTTGTACTGGGACACTGCAGATATGTTAGAATGGTCTCAAGGAGTCCACTGATGTGAAAAAGAGAGACACAATCGAAAAATTTTTAGGAGGGCTTTTAGACTTCAAAAGTATTTCTTATTGGAGTATAAACTATAGGAACAAATGGTCAGTTCTAATAGTAGAGAACAGACCAGGATGGCTCTCATGGAACCAATGGTGCTCTGCATAATCATAAAGGATGTATAAAAGTGGGTGAATAATGAAGCAAAGTAGGAATGCAAGAAGATTCTAGTTGACTTTAATGATAGCTATAAAGACTCAGGGACCAGAGCTTACTCCACTTAAAGTTCTGTGGCAAACTTTAAGGTTGAATGAGTAGGAGCAGTAGGACTTTGCAATATTGAGAAAGTGAGCTGCAGGATAGGTGACATTTCCTCTTGAGTCATGCAGATGTATTTAGCCAAGAAAGGCAGGAGACAGTCCTCCACGAACTTCTCCAACATGACTCCTTCTCACGGGCTGCACTTCTTCTCAAACTACACCAACCTGGGTCCCTCCCACAGGGTGCAGTCCTTCAGGAACAAACTGCTTCAGGGTGGGTCCCCCATGGGGTCACAAGTTGTGCCAGCAAACCTGCTCCAGCATGGGCTTCCCATGGTGTCACAGCCTCCTTTGGGCATCCACCTGCTCCAGTATGGGGTCTTCCACAGGCTGCAGATGGATCTCTGCTCCACTGCAGACCTACATGGGTTGCAGGGGGACACCCTGCCTCACCATGGGCTGCAGGGGAATCTCTGCACTGGTGCCTGGAGCACCTCCTGCCCCTCCACCTTCACTGACCTTGGTATTTGGAGAGTTGTTTCTCTCACATATTCTCACCCCTCTCTCTGGCTGCAGTTACACAGGGCTTTTTTCCCCCACTTCTTAAATCTGTTATGCCAGAGGTGCTGCCACTATCGCTCAACCTTGGCTAGTGACAGATCCATCTTGGAGGTTGTTGGCACTGGCTTCATGGGGAAGTTTCACAGGGGAAGCTTCTAGTAGCTCCTTTAGAAGCCACACGTGTTGCATCCCTGTTACCAAAATCTTGACATGCAAACCCAATACAAATGTCAAAGGCAAATATCCTGGAATTTAACCTTGTTAAAATGCTTGAGGTTTGGGGGTTTTCTCCTTATAGATCCTATAAATCTTGTTTCATTATTTATCTGCTGTATTAACTTTTTAATCTGAGCACAATATTATTCTCCAGTTCAGCTCTTTTTGCAGAAAACAGTGATAACTTCTGTGGTTTCTTGCATGAACTTGTTTCAGTTCAAAGACTTTTGTACCTGGGCTGTGTAAACAATGCCTTGTGTGCAGTCCTCTACTCTTTAGGAATGTAATCAATAGCATATTTAAAAACACTTTCCATTCTGTTTTCAACAATATGTTTTATATACATTTTGATGCCTGGGACAGAGGAGTGCCTTACCAGTGTAAGGCAAACTCATCTGCCTGGCCTTGTGAGAATACTTTGTTTTGCATGGTTCTGCAGGGTTCTGCTTCTCTGGAAAAGTCAGCTGCTGTAATCGAATCCCACATTCTCTTAGTTTTCAAGGTTTATTATTGCTTTCTACTGGGGCCAGAAAATAGTTGCTTAACAACTATTTGAGCCCTACTGGGTGAAACTAATCTGATTAATCCCTGCAGCATGAATAACTATTTCTATTCAAGGTAAAAATGGCAGTTTTGCAGCATTTTCAGAGATGATTTGTTTATATGTTTATTGGTTAACGCAGGGCTTTTGTTCTTGTTTTGTTTTTAGGATTGCACTGTGGCTGACATGGAAGATAAAGTCCAGACTGTGGTAAGTTTATGTTTCTGTTGAAACTCAGCTGTTTGCATTCACATTTATTTCATTTGCTCCTATTCTGACTGTACTGACAACAGCTTTTCAGTCCCAAATGTACAAGCATATCATGCAAGTAAACGTTACTGTGGGTTGTTTTGTGAATATTCTTCACTGTAAAGAAAATCAATGAAATTGGAACAGATGGGTGGTGTGTGTAATAGCATGGAGTCAAGTATTCCTTCAAATTTCATTCCACAGCTATTTTTCCAAGAGGATTTAGGCCTCAAATTTTCAAGGGAAGGAGTAGTACTGTAGAATGTTCATAGGCTAAATAAACCAATTATGCCTGTGAAGTGCAGTTAGTACCTTAATAAGCAGACACTATGCCTTATTACACTTCTTCATGTTGAAGAACTGCCCTGCCACAGAGCTGAAGTTCTGTTTCTGTTTGTACTTGAGCTTGAGTTTTCAGGGTTGTTCGAAGCAGCCTTGTGACCAAACGCGGAGTGTAATGGAATGCTTTTTATATTTTGTAGCAGTTAATCATCGCTTCCTGCTTTTGACATGAACCAGGCTGTGCTCTTTGATAAGGCCTTCCGGTAGCTCGTAGATGCTTAGGAATTTAGCAGCAAAATAACTAAAAATAATTTTGTCCATAAATACTGAGACCACGTAAAAGGGAGTTTTCTGCATCTTTCTTTTTCCATTTGTGCACACCCACTCTGGAAGTAGGTATTGTTGTTTGGAATCCCCTTGTTTGAGCAGTTCCTCGCATTCACACTTTAACATTGTTTTGATTTATTTTATTGCTGCTCTATAAATCTGACGTAAAACAAAACAGAAAACATTGGAACTATTGTTTCCAGGGACCATTGTAATCAAAATCACTGTCTTCCTATGACACAACTCCCCTCATCCTGTAATTACATGTCTAGTTTGACTGGAGGATTCAAACCCCTTGTGAAAGGTGACTTGCTGGTTCCCAAACTGTTTATAACTAACTACTATACTGTACTAATCCTCTCTCCCTTCCCCTTTTAGCTTTTGCAACTGACTTTGAGTTTCAGCATTCCTTCAGTTAATGTCAAGATGGAAAACACACTGTGGGAAGTAATGAAATTTGTGAGTGTAGAGAGGGCACAGATTTTTTGACTTTTTTTTCCCCCTCATGTTTAATTAGCCCTTCTAATAGTTAAATGTTCTACAAGGCAAAGCCATTCTGCCTCTAACTATACTGACACACACGCCAAGGTCAGAATTAGCCTTTAGTTATAATGTTGGCTTAGGATCAGTTATGTTTCAGTCAAAAGGAAATGTGAACCTTGCCTGTGTAAGCATTCCAGAAGAGGTCAGTTCAGAGGCACAGTGGAAAGAAGTACTGCTGAAACACTTAAGTTCTAGGTGTCCTACCTTATACTGTAAAGCTTTGTGCAGTTAAGTCAGTGGCCAGCACATCACTTTTTGTAGCACATGGCCAATTTTATTCTCATAGCAGAAATAAAGAGTAACATGAAAAACTGTCAGTTGTTCCCACAAAGAATCATCAAAATGTTTCAATATTTTAGTGGGTTGTATTTTGGTTAAAGCAAATAAGCCCCCATGCAATTTTTTGCTATATTTTCAGTGTTTATTGTTTAACGATGGGGAGGGGGCACTAATGGAAACAAGTTGTTTTTACTATGTCACAGTAAGAATATAAACATACTGTAAAATAGATTTGTACGAATGAATCTCTTATTTCAGTGGTTTTAAAACTCATTTCCTTTACATCTTTTGAGAACTGGAAGAGGAAGAGGCCAGGGGAGAATTTTCCTAACTGTTTTTTGTGTGTTCTCATTGTAGGCCAAGACTTTAAATGGCATTTGTGATAAAGCCATTCGATCAACTACAGATCCATTGATGAGCCAGTGTGCCTGTCTGGAGGAGGTTCACTTAACCAACATTAAACCTGGGGAAGGCCTGGTAAGAACTGGAGTCTCCTGATGTCCTCAGTGTTTTATAAGGTAGTCTTGTGAGCCAATGCAAGTGTTTATGTATAGTAAGTTATTTCAAGACCAGTAATAACCTATGGAGAAAAGAAGGAGGCATGGGGAGGAACTCTAAAGGTTAATGGTCAGGTAGTGTGCTGGAGTGGCTGCCAGAGACAGGTATGCATGTTAATAGGTTTGATCCCAAAAATAATTTTTAATGGTAAGTTGTTGAAGATTTTTGTCTTAATGAGGATATTGGAGAATTTACAAATGCTTGTGAAATTAGTAGTTTTATTTTTGCAGGTTACTCTATCTAGTTATTTTTCTCGTAGGGCTGGGGGAGGGAGAAGGTAATGAGAAATGATGTTTGTGTTTTGAAAGATGTGGTTTTATTTGTTTTTATAGCAAGACTGAGAAGAAAATGAGAATTTTTGAGGTTTACCTTTAGCAGGAATATGAGAACTTTTTAAATGTTCAGTGACTGACTCTTGTTCATTCAGTGGATTCTGCTCAGCTGAGTACTGGTTATGAGAAACTTAGTTTGAAATCTTAGTGGCTTTTCTGTCTAGCAAACAGATGTGTTAGAATGAGTTGGAGGGAATTTAAATTCTTAAGTGCATTTGTATTCACCCCATGGCCCTGAAGGCAGAAGAGATGAACGCTTACAGAGAAAGCTGCACAGTCTTACTATGCTATATAGTTTTACCTACACCAATGGATTTGACTGAATTAGTCATGCATTCTTGAAATTATGAGGACCTCTGTTAATGTGCAAGCTACAACAAAGCGAAGTCAGTCTAGCTTGGACTAAGTAAGAAACGAAGAGGTAGGTGCACACAATTGGAAACTGACAGGCAAACAGGGAAGGAATTGGCTGGATAGGAAGGATCAAAAAAATCTTCTATTTTTCCTTGTACTTTTAAGCTAAGCTGCTTTCAGCTCCAGAATAACATCCAGTTCTATACTGCTCAGCATGAGTACTTCTAACAACAGATGTAGATAGGAAAAGTAGATATGTATTTGTTCATAAATGATGGAACCAATGTACTGGTCACCTCTTGTGGGGAAATCTATGTAATTATTAGTTAATAGCCGGCTTGTGATTTTTAATTTGGTGTTCTTATGGTCAACACCCACTTCATCTGAGTTTGTCCTTGTATTCACACTCGGTGTTAACATACCGAGCCACAGACACTCTGCTGGAGCTTTTATTGCTTATGTCAGCATTGTGGTTACGGGGTAATCTGTGTATTGACTTGCCAAGAGAAGCTGGAAAAGAATATGTCTGCAATATTTGTAGCCCATCTGTGTAAGTGAGGTTTGTATGGGGAGAACTAGTGGCTACCTAGTAAAACCTGTAATTCTCTAGTGCAGACTGGGTAGTAAGGAAATAAAGTTTTTTTTGAGGCCAAAGACTGACAAGGCAGCAAAACGAGCAGTGTTTGGTATTACCAACCAAACAGTGTTTCTAAGTCACATTCCATATATTTGGTGTTTTAATTTATAATAAATATTATAATTATAGCAAAAGTGATCTGTGAAGAAGTTTAATGTAAAATTAGACCACACACTTTTCTAGGGAAAATATATGAATTGTTGACTGGTTTTAATAATGTTTTGAGTCTATTGCCAGGAGTTGTTTAATCAGATAAGTTATGTGGTTTATGTTGCCTTTAAATTTATTTTTCATTTTTTCTTTATATTTAGGGAATGTACATAAAATCAACTTATGATGGATTGCATGTAATTACTGGAACTACAGAAAATGTAAGTGAAGTAAATGTAGATTAACTCAGGCAGTAGCTTTGCTGAGTTAGTTTGACTTAGTTTTTTTTGTTTTACATATGACTTGTATGTTATTACTGCTTCTAATACTGTGTGATGCATTGTTTATTTATACATAATTTGTAAATATTTTGTGTCTGCATGTTTCAGTGTTAGTCAAATTAAACCAGTTTCTGCAAGTTACATGAGTTAGTTCAAATGCTTGGCATTAAAATAATTACTTTCATAAGATATTGTATCTGCTGTTCTGAGCCCTTATGGTATCTTGCTTAAAAGTCTTGGATGTGTTTGCTCTCTGCTGGCAAAGACAGTCTCCCCTAATGGGAACATTTAGATGGCAGCGTGCTAAATTCAGTAATAAGTAATGAAATTAATGAGCTGTCCCGGCACAACATTACCTTGCAGAGTAGAAAGACTATGAACAAGTAAGACTTTTAAGAGTGGTCAGCTGGAAGGAAATAGTTGGTAGGGTAGGCAATTAGTTTTTTCTTCTTCTGTTTGTACACTGTGAGTCCTTTGTAGCAGAGACTTCATTGAAGACTTCTGGGTAACCATGGAAGGAGTGGACCTCTAGCCAGAAGCTGAGGCTGGCAAGTGATGTTGTGGATCACAGCATCAGTCAAATATGCTGCTGTACGGGAGCAGTGACTGAAAGAAAGAAGAGCAGAGAAACTTGGCTTTTGCAGCAATGCTTTTTTTTGTGAATAGGAAAGAACCAGTGGTTCTAGTTGTTATCCCTGCCAAGTCCAGGGACCAGGAGGAGAGCGTGGAAATCTGTGCTTGCAGTTCAGAGTGCAGAGTGAAAGCTTTTATAGCTTTTATGCTACTGTCATGGCATAACTCTGTGTAGAATCTGCCACAAAGACCAGGCCCACTTTGACAGCAATTTCAACATCCGATGAATGTGAAAGTATGTCATGTTGACTGCTGACAAGCTGCCTCTGCATGTGGATCTTATTTTGGGGGCTGTATTTCTTCTGTAGCTTTGAGTGTTGACTTAAATGTCTGCTTTTTTTATCAACACTGATTCTTCCTTTGGAGCAACAGAATTTGAAGTGACTGAGATCTGCAAACAACTGATGTCTTTATGGTGGCATGGTATTGTTTAGATGACCCAGACTGGGTCTTAGCTCAGTTTTCTTCATAGGTTTGGAATGGTATCTTAGTAGCTATTCCCAGAAGCTGGTGTATGGGAATGCAGTGGAATTGCATCCCTAAACTGACAGTACTGAACAGTGGAAGGACTGGGGAAGTCTGTTTGGTACCAGTCAGCCAAGATTATTCCTGAGTTGTGCCATCTTACGTGTGACTTCCTGTGTCACATTGACCTAGATCTGAACTTTGTTCTTTCCTCTGTTTTCACACGTGATCCAAGTGTCTGTGCTGTGACCTGCCACTTGTTGTAAGAGTTCTCTGTTCAAGGGTCCCCCACCCTCCCTCAGATGAGCTGTTGGTCACCCAAAGGACAACTTGAAATGAGCTTTATTTTTTCCTAAACTTGATTTTGGCCCATCATTTTTTCATGATCTTGGTTGACTCGTATATATGCAGCTTTCCACAGAGGCATTTCCTTTCAGAGGAAGCAAGAAGACAATTAAGAAATGGGGTTACTCATGATAGCTGGAGCCTCCCATAAATTCCCACGTTTTCTTCCCTTGTTACACTGTTTATTCTTAGTTCTTTCTCATAAGAAAGTTATTGGAGCTCTAAAGGTGTGATAAGTCCTTAATCCCAGTGCTTAGTGCTGGAGTCACTAGGAAGAGCTGGACTGCTGACAGGTGGTTAGTCATGGGGTGGGGGGAATGGGTGGAGGATTTGTCCTGTGACGGGGGTGCAGTACATACCAAGGTTTGTGCTTTGGTACCCTTTGTGCTTTGGGTGTTGTCAAGGCTGATCAGAGTTGGTGTGTTATAGCAGTGAGACTGTTTTTAATAACTGCAGCAATAGCTGGTGCATTGCACCAGCTCTTGATAAATGTAAATATTGACACATTTATCTCTTCCTTGCTGATGGTTCCCCAGAGCTTAGGTTTTGTTCCAGGAAACTTGTATTTTAAGGTGTATTATTATTAGATAGGTATTTGAAAAATACTTGTCTATGCACACTGGATGTGTGCAAACACGTATTTTTATCTGTTGACCTTGATGCAGACAGGCAGTTTGACATTAAGGTTGGAAGCTTTTATTTACATTAGGAAACAGAAAGGAAAAGTGCAATGGATCTGTCTTGTGGATTGGACGGTTTTTGGTCCTTTGTTCTGTACGTTCAAAGTCTTAATGTATTTTTTTTTAGATCAGTGTACATTTATTTGAAAGCTGTTTAGGATAGTTGCTGTGTTAGGGCAGAAACCCTCTTCAGTCCTCTCCCACTACTGTCTAAAACTAAGGTACAAACTGGAGGCAAAAGGACAGTAGAGACTGTCCCATGACTTAAGTACCATTTGGCCTGTAACAGATGTAGGCTACTATGCCTTCTTTCTTAAATAAATAATTTGATGAATTAATTTGCATTTCTGAAGTCATCAGCAGATGTGAAAATTATCTATACTGAAGAGCATTGCTAATGCAACCTTTGATTTAGCATGGTTGTTATGGGAGGGATGAAAAGCGCTGAAGCACATGACTCTTGTTTTCCTCTTTGTAGTCCCCTGCTGATCGCTCTCAGAAGATTCATGCTGGTGATGAAGTGATCCAGGTTAATCGGCAAACTGTGGTTAGTAACTAACAATGTTATCAACCTTCTCATATCCTTGCTCTGCAAGGCTTGCTCCCCACAGGTGCTGAGGGGATGGGATCAGGAGGCGGTTCTGGTGTTTTCCTTATGAAGTATCTGAGGCTTTTTAATGTTTAATCCAGACAGATTTTATTCTTTGGAATATTTTGATTAAGTAAATATGCAATATTTCATGTTTAAATGCTGTATGCATCATATTAAAATCCTTCATGTTGTATTTAAGACCAGTTTTAAAATCTTCCTTAGAGTCCACTGAAATGCAGATAAAACCAGCTAAAAAAACTCCCAGTCATTTGCAAATGATTGTCAAATCATTTGCATCTGGGAACTTGGATATAATGATTACATTTTTGCTTCGCACAGGTAAGCAATGCCTTTCGATGGGAGAAAGAAATATGGCAAAAATAGTTCACTGTGAATCCCTGTGTTAGTCAATTTGAGCACATCCATGCATCCTTCTAGGACCAGAACTGAGGTATAAAGAGCATTGCTTGATACCTCAGTTTAGTTTACAGCTTAAGTAGAGAACTTTCTTGGAAACAAAAATGAAGAACTGTGCAAAAAAGCAGCTTTCCTTTTTTTTTCTTAAGTTTGACTCTTTTTGATCTCTTGTATCTCTTCTAGGTTCATATTAAAACAGTTTGACTTGGGGGATTTGGGTTTTTTTTGTTTGTTTGCCTTCAGAAAAGAAATACCAAATAAAAGATGTCTTTATTCTCTTCCAGGTTGGATGGCAGCTAAAAAATCTGGTGGCAAAGTTGAGAGAGAATCCTGCTGGAGTTAGGCTGCTGCTTAAAAAACGTCCTACTGGCTCTTTCCATTTTACTCCTGCTCCATTAAAGAACCTGCGCTGGAAACCACCCTTGGTGCAGGTGAGAGGCTGCCAGCTCCACTCTGATCTCAGGATGGGAATGCCTTGGTTGCAGCTCAAAAAAGAGAAATCCCAGAAATGCTCTCAGGTACTCAAGTTTAACTACAGATTAAGGAAGGTTAGGTGAAATGGCTGTCCTTTTCTGATTCCTAGATAAAAGGAAAATGTTCTTGCCTTTTGCTTTTTTATTTTTCCTCTCTTTTCCTTAAAAACAGATAATGCCCTCTTGGTACACAAACAGACTAGGTGTGCTGAACATTTTAATCAGTCTACGTGTCACTGGGAGAACTTATCTGAGGAGAAACTGCTGAAACTGCTGATATGTATGGAATTCATCAGCATGGAGCAATAAAGGCTTTCTCTATTTAGCACAGTAATAAGTTTTTGCCGAAATAACTTAGATTATTCTGTATATTTGTCCTCTTTTTAGATGGGAGTGTTTTTCAAGAAGTGATTTAAACTACGTGTTGAAATAAGATTAGGTCGTTGGGAGATTCCCAGATTGGCTACTGAGCAGACAAAGAAAGTGTGTTAATAATTATTAAATAACCATGTTGAAGAATGGCTTGTTGCATTAGGAAACTTAAGGTTTAATGCTTATAGAAGGAAACAACCGAACTGGATTTAAAGTGATTACGTGAAATGAATAAAATCAGGGAGAGTTCCCATTCCTACTCCTGTTGCGATACAGGTCTCCCTACAGCTGTGAGGGTAATTTATCAACCTATGAAATACCAGTGGCTATGACAAGTCTTGATGAAGGCAGATTTCTCTCAAACTGAGTAGAAGATGCGTACTTGACTACTTTTCTCATCCTTCCTTTCACCAATGCCTGTGTCTTGTTTTTGTGGCATCATGCCTGACATGTGCTACCAGTGTGAAGAGCTGAGGTGGGCTGGCATATAGGCTATACCAAGCGGTGTTTCCTTAGGGGAATGAGAGATTGGAGAAGCCTGTTGACCGTTCTGGGGTTCTGCACACTGCCCAGTAAAAGGCAGGTGCTTGTGCAGGGGTGCTGTTAACTAAGCGGACAGAGTGAAAGCCTGGACACGTCCTTACAAAAAAGGGAGAGTGCAGTTCTCTTGCCTGACAAAGGTGAAAGGGTCTTTGAAGCCTTTTCTCTCCTGACAGACAGGAGCCTGGCAAGATACTGAGAATATAGAAGTGAGCCACAAAGATGAGCAATGCCAAATCTATTTTTTCTTTGCTTCCCTGACTGTAGTTATATCTGTTGATCCAATTTATGGTGAACTTTACCATATTCCTGTTTATGCCTCAGGCTTTGGACTGTATGGAATAAAGGTAGCGTGGACTGGCTTTGCAAGGTTTGCCAATCACATATTTTTTAAATAAATTATGTTCTTTTAATGCATTTAAAAATAGAAGAAGGGGTTTTGTCTCAGTTGCTTTTTTTGGAATTTACAGGAAAAATATAACTGGAAACAGCAAAATATTTTTGAGCAGTGGATTACCCATGCTAGGACTTCTGCAGGAGGGACTGCGAAGCTATCCAAAACTGGGGGTGAAGGAAAATGTAACTTCTAGGAGTTTTTAATGTGTTCATACAGCATGGAGATAATAGTTCACTAGGGGATGAAAATGGTACTATTGATTATTAAATTATCTTTTTGCGAATGATAAATAAATGCTCAGATGTCTGATAGCTGTTTAACATTTCAGACCAGTCCTCCACCAACTTCAACTCAGTCACCAGAAAGCACCGTGGATACCTCACTGAAGAAAGAGAAGCCAGCCATTTTGGATCTGTACATACCCCCTCCACCAGCTGTTCCATATTCTCCTCGGTATGCAAATAAACATGCACTACTGAACAAAAAACTCCTTCATTACACTTGTTTCTGAGCTGGCTTGCTATTACAACTCTGTGCAGATTAGCTTGATGAAACTGTAAATCTCAGACTTTCTTCTAGTTGCCTGAATAAATTGTATTGCTTAAACTTATGCTTAAATGCATACACTACCAGGATTGTAATAGGTTTTATTGCTAGAAGGTTATTGTGTGCCACATAGATCAGAGTTGTTCCCAAAACACGAACAGATGTCACCTCAGGTTCTGTTTAAATCCACCACAACAAGAAGTAAATTTTATCTGTAACTTTTTTCACTGTTGAATTTTTTTTCTAGCAGGTTAAGTAACTGTTGTGGGAGTTAGGATAGAAAAGAATGTCACATTAAGATGCGTATAACATTAAACTGTTAAACTTGCGAGTTGTTTAAAACAGGAATGTTCCCACTGAAGGGAAGAGAGAGTCAATACATCAACTTTTATTTTTTTATGCTGTAGTGTAAGCTATAAAACTGCAGACCTGTGTACCCAGCAGGCGGGGGGTGGTGTGTATGGTAAGGCTAACTGTTGTTTGTTCTCAAGTCCATGTTGACTCATGCCAGAACCCTGCCAGCTGATCTTGGAAGGTGATGGAAAAAAAAGTTTTCAGGCAAGACATGAAAGGCAGGCATGCTTTCTGGCCTGCACCAACACTTTAGTTACACATAGGCAGCCCAGCACAGGAACTCTGACCTTTTGCTGCAGGACTTGTGGGAGGGCACTTGCCTCCTGTCACATAAGGGCTGTGACAGAGACAGAGGTTCTATTACTGCAGTCTTTAGGGCAGGACTGGGAGGAGAGTTTCTCCAAGGTAGGGTCTCTATTGAAGTTGGATGCACCTTGACATGCTCTCTCCCTGGTTTTATGGTTACACATGTTCAGTTCTTTTAAAAAAAACCAAAACCTCAAATCTTTTGGCATAATAACAAGCATATAGATTTAGCAGATGAATGTCTTAGTCTTTTTGTTAAATTTCAAGCACATTGGTGAGTTACATGCATGTGTTTATCTTTCCTAAAGAGGCACAAAATTATATTGAGCTTCAGATGCCTTTAGAACTGAATCTCTGTTGACAAGGAAGGAAATAATAGTGCGAGCTGTAAAACTTATCCTGGATGATGCATGGAAAGGGGGCTTAACTTTGACTTTTAAAGAAAGCAAATGTGGGAAGTTGTGGCAGGCAGGAAGAGGAGAAAGGGCAATTCTTTTGCTTTCTGTTTGGCTTTTTATTTTGGCCTCTGCATGTTTTGATTTTTTTCTTGAAACAGTGGTGCATTTGTGTGGTGGTTGCTTTCCCCCTCTCCTCCCCTCACCATCATCCTGTTCCCTTCCCTTCCTGGTGTGGATCTTTGGTCCACGCTGGGAGGCAGAGAGCAGTGTTTGGTTTCCCTCCCTATGGCACAGTCTCCACGTGGTGGTGGTGTAGGAGAGCTCTCCATAGACATACAGTTGTGATGTAACATTTGAGTCCAATTTGCAGTCTCTGAATTTCCATAAATAGCTCCTTCCTATTAGTGGAGGGCTGGAAAAGTGGTATGTGCTGGCTGGGGGCTGCTGTGAATACTGGGGTATATATGTGCTTAGGCAGCCAGCTGTGTACTTTGATGCCTGACTGGGCTAATGGTTGCTTCAAGCAATAGGATTGTAGCATGTACAGGGAAAGGAAAAAAAACAAACAGGCAAATCTTAAGTTGGAGGGTAGCTTCTCTTGCAAAAGTACTTGCAGGGACACGTTCTAAAAATTGCTGTTCCTGGCCTTGGGAATGAGAGATTGCTCTGGGAAGGGAGTTCCTGCAGAATTTAATCAAAATCATATATGCGTATATATGTATGTATGTGTGTAGGTATATATATACGCACGTGTATGTATATATGTGTGTATATATATACACTATGAATCTATTATTGGAACTCTCAAGGAAGGAGAGAGAAAGTGGTAAATATTCAGTGACAGTTATTGGTCTCCTCCAGTGACTGAAAACCATAGTCCCTCAGAGGTGTTGCCATGACACAGAGATGGATAAATTTGTGTAGCGCTCCTGATTCACAGCTGCATACTGAGCAGGCAGTGAATCAGGGGCTTTGATGCCCTCAGGTCAGAAAGATCTCATTTATCAAAATCTTTTGCATGACTGGAACCTCTAAACTTCTCTGTGTGTTAAATTCCTGGCTCGTTAACGGTGAATATGGCATAAGGCAGGTAGTTTTCTCTTCTGACTGGTTTTTTTTTTTTCCAGCTTGTTTACAGCACAGTGCCAGTTGTTATGAGCATGACTGGGTGCTAGAAGTGTGTTTCAAACCTAGTCATGTCTGTAGTGTTAAACTCTTAAGTTACTAATTGAGGTGACATGTCCTTTCAGAGATGAAAAGGGGAGTTTTGTGTATGGAGGAGGCAACAAACACAGTCAACCATTAACTGGGTCCAAGGGGGCCGAGTCTCCCAATTCTTTTCTGGATCAGGAGAGTCGAAGACGAAGGTTTACTATTGCTGATTCAGATCAGTTGCCTGGGTATCCTCTGGAAGTAAATATCCTACCAGCCAAGATGAGGGAAAAAACACAGTCCTATGGTGAGTTTATTCCTCTCTCATTATCACTGTTATGATAAGTGCTTTGGTCAGTTTGAAGTGAGTTGTGTTAGAAAACTGTGCATTAGACTTGATGGGTGGACCTTCTCTGCAAATTGTAATTGAAATTACACATCTGAAATAATTTCACATAAATGCCATTATTTCTGTAATGAGTGTCGTTCAGCTGGTCTCTGCTGCTACAGATGGCCATTTCCATGTGTGTTTTGGTTATAACATTATGTCCACTGCTGTAAATGAACAAGTGTGTTCAATCAAAGCTGTTCAATCTCAGCACATTGATCTCTTATTATTGATACCACCAGTGGAAGTATCTTCAAATATTTTTTTTCTGCAATTTGAACTCCTTATTGCTGTATCTCTCCCTTTGTTTAATTGTGAAAAGTATCAATTTAAAAATTGTTTTCCTTAACCTTTTGTAATTCCTCATAACCTTCTATGTTACTTCTAGGAAAACCTCGTCCATTGTCAATGCCTGCTGATGGAAGTTGGATAGGAGCTGCAGAACGCTTCTCTAGGCCACGAGGATTAGGGAGAAAAGGCAAGGTTTTAGGTGTCATCCCTCATTCTCTTCCCTTACTCTCCAAAATTTCCTTGGGATGAACTGCATGAAAGTGTTTAAATTAGGAATGGAGGACTATGGTTTGCATATTGCTGAGCTGATCCAAGGTGACAGTTGTTGGTTTTAGCAGGAATGCCAGATGGTAGTTGTGAAATTTGTGAGGCTATTCAGTGCTGGGACTCAAACTTTTTCCTGTCTTGGAATTCTTGTGAGCGTTAAAAGTAAGCTAGAATGACTAGGGCAGATCTGTACTTGTCTCTTTATAGACAAGTATTGTTCTTACACAAATCTCTTTCCCTTTCTTCTGAATTTAATATTGACTGTAAAACTACCTTTTTAAAAAGTCTTTCTGTTTCTTTAGCTCACTGTGGAGGCTGTTGTACAAGCAAGCTTGTTCTCTAAATGTAAAATGTGGGGCCTTTTAGAAGTTGCTTTTTACTGTGACTCCTGTTAGAAAACAACATATTCTGCAGACATCACTGAATGGGAGAGACAGAAGCTCATTACATTGGGTGTTAGGTTGGGTGGCTTGTTTTACTTGCTACACTGTCCTTCTCTTCCCATCCCCTTTTGCATCTGAAGGGCTATTTGAGTACTATTAGAGTGGGAAATAAAGATGAGTAGTTTCTTCTTGAAATGAGTTATGAAAGCTAATGCGTAATTCTGCGTAAAATAGATGCTGAATTCTATTATTGTAATGCAAAAATAGGAGTCCATAAGCAGTATAAACCTGGAGGGATATTAGAAGCAAGCTAAGTAACAAGTCTAACAGAGCAATCACCAGGTGGCAGGGCTGGTTTTTGTGTGTATGTTTTTTTGTTTAGTTTTGCTTTTGTTTTTTTGTTGATTTTTTTAAATACTTGAAATGTACCTAAGTGCTGAAGGCTTGTATGTAAGCTGTACTGAATCACATCCAAAGGCCTGCCTAGTCCAGTAGGATGCCTCTAGCAACAACTGCCATGATCAGCTGTCTAAGGAAGAGTATCTTTTAAGTTACTCATGAGTTACATTGAGAAAAATATGGATTCAACTCTGGTCTCTTCAGCATTTTGAATAACATGTTACAAGACAGTTTGCTAGGTCTCACCCATGATAATGATTTGCATGATGGTAGTCTGCACTAGCATTTTTGGTGTGTGTGAATCTGGAATTCAACAGTCAAATGGTATCTTCTCTGTGTATGGATTTATTTTCTTGTTATTTGTGTTACTTAAAAAAAATATTAAAGAAGCAAACAGCTATGAATCTATTGATAGCTGCTTATGTTGAGGTGGGTTATGAAAAATAACCAAAATCTAGGGAATTTGAAGTGTAGCCAGAATATTTTTTATAAAAATAGAAAGTGTTAATGGAGGGGTTTGAAGTCATTAATAATTGTTTTTCCTCCTCCTGTTTGTACAGGTGAAGATGTCCTCTGCAGGTACTTCAGTAATGAAAGGATACCCCCAATCATTGAAGAAAGCCCCTCCACGCAGTACCCCCTCTCCAGGCCAGTGTCTGACAAGCAGTTAGTGAAGGGAACGGATTATATTCGAGGCAGCAGGTGTTTTATGAATACAGACCTCCACAACAGTGCAACGATTCCTTTTCAAGAGGAAGGTGCTAAAAAATCGTCGGTTACATCATCCACAAAACACTCCTCTGCAGAACCCTCACTGCTGGTCAGTTGGATCACAAGACTGAAATTGTTGACTCACTGACTATTGTCCACAGCGCTGTTACCAAGTGCCTTTGCTCATCGATCAGACTTCTCTACTTTTCAGCTCAACTGACGAATAGTGACTAATGCGGTATTCTTTTCCTGGAGAACCTTACATTTTTGCCTTTTTGTGAGTTTTGACAGATCAGAGGGTGTCATAGTGCAAGGAGGGGAAAAAAGATAAAGATCAAGTTCCTCTTTTTGGCCAAAAGCTGAAGGCGTTTATTCCCATGGAAATAAGTAGAATTCAGTGAGATAGAGGCCACACATGACCTGGAATGTGCGTAGTGACTCAGAAGAAAGAATTGTGTTACCGTGAAGTCCAGTGGCACTTTAGTTGTCTGAATGCTCAGAGACTGGTGTGACTGGCTGGGTGTCAGAGTATGCAGAGCTCAGCACAAGTTGCGTTGCGTTACTCTCCTGACCAGGAAAGATAAGCAGAGAAACAGTGGTTTTGTGCAACTTACTGATGCTGTTGCAAATACTGCGTGAGATCAACCTTGTGAGGAAGCAGTAATAGTGTTGTTGTTCTTTCTCTGATACCAGAAATTCTATGAAGGCTTAGGAAGAGAGTTCTCTCATTCAGAGATTTTAGGAAATTGGACTAATTTAATTATAAATCAATCCAACCTGATATATAAACTATTTTATTGAAATCACAGTAGAAATAAAGAGCACTGAACAACTGCAGTGCTTGTCTGTAAAGGTATATGGATTGCTGCAACATGCCAAGGAAATGCATCTGTAGAGGTGGTAAAAGAATATATATTTTTTTCCTTAATTGTTTAAGAATGATTTGCTGTTAACCAAAGTAACCTTTTAAAGACAGTCCTGTTGGACTTATGAGACCTTTTACAATGGTTCAGTTTTTGAATGATGTGTTGTTTTTATGAAAAATATGTGCTATCATACACTACAATTGTAAGACATCTGCTATTTTCTATATAGCTCAAATCTTTACACTTCCAGAATTTTGAAATAGCATTGGGTATTTTGGGAGGAAAATAAAACTTGTTTAACAAAAGAGGATGATATTAAAGAGGTATTGTTCAAAACAGAATGTACATAGGACTGCTAGTATGCAAACTTAAAAAAAGTTTAAAGTAATTTAAGTGTTAAATATAGTTGTATATATTTTTTACACTTAAGCAGATACTGTTTGTACCTTCCTGTATTGCAGTACTGGGCACAGCTTAGTCAAATGAAAAGTTTTTGTGTTCCCTGCTAATTATAAGACTAACTATTTTTGTAGATGATACATTGCCAACAGCCTTTACTCCTTTGGTCTTGCTGAAAAGAAGGATTTGTATTTAATAATTGGTGGGTAAAGAGGGGAGTTAAGTACTAGTTTTCACTTTGGACTGGGGCAGGAATCACATGCGATAACATGAGTGTTAAAAACACTATAATCTGGCTGTGAACATGTGACCATTCTGTTGCAACAAGCTTATGAAGTTGTGCTACAGCCCCGAAGAGAGAGACAGGGTGTTTCAGTTCTCAATTAATTATGTTTGATTGTGAGTGGTGATTTAGGTGGGGGCTGGTTTGGACCTTTCTAATCAAAGCAGATTATAATATGTCCATCTTGTGGCACTCTTCTCCACTGCCCGAGATGGCAATCTGTGCTAGAGATGTGACCGAACACTGCTGCAATGCAGTTGAACCCTAGAACGGTTTGGTTCTGCCTCCAAGAAGAAGGCTGAAACTGCTATGTTGTGGGCACTGTGATGTAGTATAGTCCAACCTCAAATTGACTGAACTGTTTTAAAGTAGATCACAGTTACTAGATCAAAGATGTTGTCTAAACAAGACTTTTAAAATGGAAATTTTGCTCATCTCCAGTGTCCTGTTTTCCACAGTTTAAGAGTGCTCTATAGTTTAGGGGTAAAAAAAAGTCCCACAGATCTAGGAATAAATCACAGTCAATATCTTTCTGGCATAACCTGAGAAAAATGTAGGTAACAAGTTAGAAACTGCTATTATGCAGAAACCTGGCTTATCTCTTGGTATCAAAGGTACATGTATCTGTTCTATCAAAAACTATGCCTAAGCTGACTTCCCTAATTAGTACAACATACATATCCAGATATCCTGTCATGGTACAGCAGTCCACACTACTCTGAATACTCTGTCACAGCGGCAAAACAACACAGTAAAATGGAAAAGATCATAAATCCCATGAAAATGAAAAAGAATATTTAGTACTCCTGCATATATGTATAGTGAGGAAGGTGTACTTCAGAAATAGAGAGCAGGCTTCTATTTTAGTCTGTAGAGTATTTGCAAGGCAGTACCTTGAATGTTCCCTTACATAACTGTTGCAAGAAAATACTATTTTAGATAGTAATGTGCAAGAGGAAATAAGACATAAATATGAATACTAATGGCTTGTAGAGACAGAGTTCAGGGCAATTCTTCAAGCAATGTGTTTCCTCTATTATTATGGATAATTAAATTAATCAGTGTTTGAATTCTGGATGGCCAAAAGTGGTGAACAGACTACTGTATTATATTAATTTTATGCTAATCAATTAACTGATAACCTTTTCTTCCTCATAAGCAGGGCATGTTTTAAAAACAACATATTTCATAAGGTGTGTGCTCATTGAACAGAGAGGAAAAAATAAAAATCTAAAACTTAGCCAAACGACGAAACAGATGATGAAGACTAGTTTTATAGTTGGAGAGGATAAAGAATTTTCTTCTTGCATATATTTTTTGTCCAAACCTTATGTCCTATTTTATTATGTTGCCAGCAGACAGCCTTCACAAACTGCTCTATACCTGCAGCCACATCCTGAATAAACCAAGTTAAACCCCTCATCAGGCTTCAACTTCAACTTCAAAAAAAGCTCAAACCTTTTTTTTATTTCCCTGGGAGGTTTTGCTTCCCTAGGAGTTTTTCCGCATTCATCAGTCAATTTTGGGAATATCTTACACATGATGGACAGCAGGGCTCTTGTGTGCATGCATATGCAGAAATGCCTTTGCCAGTAGGATTGGTATCTTGAAGGAAGGTGTTTGTTGTTTGTGTTGCTTGTGTTTTCTGCGCTTAAATAAGTGCTACTTCTCCTAGCTTCCACTCTACGTCCTAGTGCACCACCTCAGAGTGTGAGTTAGAAATACTCGTGTACAATTGGAAACAAGTGTTAGGTCCTTTGGAGTACTCTGACTTTGTTCTGCTGTACAGCTGTAGCTTCTTTTTTCTCTGTAGCCCGAGTTTTTCTTTGCACATGCTGTGGTGATGGAGCATGTGCTTTTTGAGGCAATCACATATGAATGCTTTTGTCACCTTGCAGAATGTAAGGTTTTTATAATGGACAAGAGCTCTCAAGAAAGCCCTTGACTTACACTAAAATACAGAAAGAGCATACCAAAAGGACTCAGCTTGTAGAATGAAGAAAGAGGGGCCAGGCTAAGCTACATATATTGGTCTGTGTTGTGTTGGACGCTGTTTCAGCTGCATGGCAGTAACTCTCAAAGAAAGCAACTCACACAAGTGCAGCACGCATGTACTTCTGCTGCATTTGTATGATGCTAGAATATGAAACAGTCATTCAAAGTAGTTATATATAGTTCCACACTATATATAGTTATATATATATATATATGTATATATATATATGTATATATATAGTTTCACACTATATATAGTTATATATAGTTCTACTTGAGCTGTAATATGTATAACAAAAGCAGTCAAGAGCTGCTGTCAATATGTAATTTCACCAAATTCTACTGCCCACACTGCTGCTGCATCGGTTTAAAATAGTATGCCCTCTTTCTACTGTTGCCTGCACAATGCAGACCCAGCTCTCTGGCAAGTCCCTAAACATCAGTTTTGTCTTCTTTTGTGATAGTGGTGAGATTGTGTCATTCCCATGGGGCCTCATGCAGTGATCCGAAAGCTTAGTTTGGGTTTTTCTGGACTTAGTCCAAAAGTGGAAGGTCAAATTTAAAAACAGTGTTACTGAACCAGTATTACTTTGAGTTGGGATTTCTTTTTTATACATACTAAATATGAAACAGGGAGGAGCTGTCTGTTGCATGTACTTTGCCAGAAGGAGGAAAAATAAGGATTACATATTCAGTGGAGGTAAAAACTCCAGATCTTTGGGTGTCCTCCAGTTCTTGCCAGTGTGAGAAATGTGTTTGTTTTAGCATGACATAGAATAGATGTAAACATTTCTTTTTAAACCTCTCTGTGTGGCCACCTCAGTTGTTCAGGATAATGTAAGCCACTGACTTTCTCCCTTAAGTGGTTATAGAGTTAGCCCAATATATTTTTTTGGGAGAGGACAAAGATACCTTTTCTTAGACAAATACATGATTGATTAACTGGGTATGGAGACAGAGGAATTAAGCATAAAACTAGTGCTGGAGAGTGCTGATTTATTGGGAGAATCCTTGGGATCAGTTTAAGACTGTGGTTCCTGTTTGTTCCCTGGGCTCTGGTGAGGATGAACGGCTCACTATGCATCTATGCAGGGTTACAGTTTGGCAGCTAGGCAACAACCAAGGAATCAGAGAACAGCCCAGTCCAATTTACTGTGCCATCTTCAGCAAAGTTGTTTGGGCTTCTTTGGTTTTGATTTTTTGGTTGGTTGCTTGTTTCCCTTCCCCTGTCTCCATAAGTGTAGCCCTCCTTCAGTAAAAATGGGCCAAAGTAGGAACTGTTGAAATGTACCTGTGGAGCAAACACAACAAGATCCTGATGAAGCAGTGGGCTGTGCTTGCTGATGAGGCCAAGCTGCCATGTGTTTAGATGTGCTCTGGGAATGTCTTTGCAGGTAATGAGCCTCAGACCTTGTGACTTTTTCTTAGGGACTTTTTTGTTCAGGCAATATTTACTGAGAGGCGTAGAAAATGCCACAGTCTAAACTGATATATGTATTTAATGTTCTTTCCCCAAGTAATCATGTATCTCAATGTTACCTAATAATGGGTTTTCCTCTTCCCTCCCCCATTAGCTGTTTTCAGTACAAATGTTTCTCAGGAAATCCTCCCTTATTTCCAGTGTAAATGTTAATAATTCCAAGTAGTCACAAATGGACCATAATATTTTAAACTGTAAAAAACAAAAACAAAAAAAACCCAAACCAAACCAACAAAACTTCAAAACCAAAACACAAGAAGAAACACTTTTTCTACCTTGTGAATAACAACTTTATGAATAATAATGAAACTAAGGATTTTTACTCAGGTGAAAGATCAACCAGACTTTAGTGGCTGCATCTTGCGTGATTTGTTTGATTTTATTACATGATAGTAGGAAGGGAGGCCTGTAGTTCAGATATTGTAGATTCTTGCAGAGCAAGGTGTTTAAATGTGTCTCCACAGAACCTGACCAAAGGCTTTCTTAGGTGTAATGCAGCTTCTCATAAGACTGTCTTCCCCAAGCCCACTGAATGTCCCATTGAATATGCAGAAGTCTTAATATCATCTGACATAGTTCTTGACCATTTGTTTTTGATATAAGTTGCTATAAGTGAGTAGGATGAGAAGAAAATACATGATGTCCAAAATTAATTATTTCCCTTTCTGTATGCCCTTCTTCCTCTTTGACATTCTCCTCCTTACACTAAGGCCAAGGGACTTTCCAGGAATTTATTGCACAAACAAAGAACTATAAATCCTTTTAATATTTATAGCATAATCTAGTTTGTTTTGATGTCTGAGATAGTTTTGGCCAGAGCTTTCCAGTAAAAATAGCACAGCCCACAAGACAGTATTTCCAAGCTCTTGATTCTTTTAAGAATTCCTCTCTGCTTAGTAAACTGTTGGCTTATACTCTGCTTTGAAGCTGCTTAGACCACCCCAAGCAGTCCTTGGCCTTTTAGGTCCAAACACATTGGCTTATCGCAGGACAGGAAGAAAGGTCTGTGTTTTTTCCTTGCTTGGAGTTTTTTAACTCTGGATTTGCAGGTCACATTGGAGAGATGGATGCAGACCTACCACAGAGGTCTTCTGTCTTTCCCTGCCTGCCCTCTCCTGTTATCTGTGCAGTGGCTAGGCGGGATGGAGGGACAAGAAGGCAAGGAGGAATCCAGAAGCTAAAGTAGCAGCCCCTCTCTTCCCTTCTTCCTGCTTAGGAGATGAGTGGCAGGCCTCTGATTCACCTCTCAAAACATGTTTAGAAAGGTTTTGGTTTTGGTTACAGAGGAGATGAGTAATTGTTCAGGTATGTTTTTAGAAGTAATAAAGACAGGAAATACGAATGTTTAGGATCAAGTGGACATAATTGTTTCCCTCGGGATGCTGCTTCGTGGGGCTGGGCATTAACCCTTGAAGCAGCAGGCTCCATGGCGCCCTCTCCTGCTGTCACTCGGGCAGCTCTGTAGCTTTCTTTCAGGGATGGGCTGGATTTTTACTGGCAGCTTTCTGCTGCCTTGTAGTTAAGTATGGGATTTCCTTCCTCTCCCAGTGTGGCTTTTTTTGTGAGCTGGGAGCCAGGTGAGACTCTCTTCCCATTAGTAGGGAGAGAGGAGAGCCTGGTGTGGTGTGTTGGCTCATACACCTGGTTCTCATTTCTTGTGGTCCATAAGCTGTACTTGATTGCTGTGGTTGTGGTCCCAATGAGTTGTAGGTCAGAACTAGCTTAAGGGTATACTTGAATAGCAAATGAATCTGGGACTGGAAAACTAAAAAAAAAACAAAACCAAACAAAAAGAACCCCACCAGAATAAAAGGCTAATGTGACAAGATACATGAGTTGTTCTTTGATTTGCAAAGTTTGTTTTCTTCTGGAAGTGTGGGAACATTGTGGAGGGATGAATGTGTTGCACAGTGTTACCGCAGAGGTAACGTGAGGGAGCCGTTGTTTAAAAACCAAAAAGGCTTGGCAGCACATGAGCTCCAGGTATGGCACAGGCAAGTTTCACCTGGTGCTGCACAGAGAGGCTTTTATTAAGGTGAAGTGGACCAGTAAGCTGGGCCTATCGGAGACAGGCAGTGAGGCAGACACCCCAAGGTGCTCACTCCCTGGTGAATCTGGCCACAAGAAATGTGTTTGACATGCTACTGCCTGGGGCTGGCTGCTGTCCTTGGAATGGATGTGGTCTCTATGTGGGAAATAAGGCCTCTAGCAGAATGTAGAAGAGGCTCAGGTTTCAGTAAGGCCTCTAGCAGAATGTAGAAGAGGCTCAGGTTTCAGTATCATGACTCATTTTCCCAGTGGTTGACCAAAGAGCAGAGGGCGTGATGGGGAGCTGTCGTGAGATGTACTCCTGTTGCTATTAAGAAATGACAGGGATTGAAAACATATATCACCAGAAATGTGAAGTTCAGAAAGCCTGGACCACCCACAGTAACCAAAGCACATGACGTCTCCCATGGGTCACTCCTGCAAATGGGAATTTTTGGTCTAATTTGCAGTGAAATATTTGATGTTTTCAAAATGTAGAAGATTTCGGGCACCCTCTGGTCTCACTGTTTACTGCTCACATAGCTGACTGTGAGAGGAGACATCTTGGCAAGGGTGGCCAACTCTGGTAGTGTTGACTCAGGGCAGGAGCTGTGAGGTGAGAGCTGCATCAAGCGGATTAGTTTGATACAAGCTTTTCAGGTTGGATGTGTGTAACAGATCTACATCTTAACAGGAAGTGGAAGTCAGTTATAAAATCACAAAAAACGTACAAAAACCATTAGTGGAAGAAGAGATGCTGCCAAAACATGGTTTTCTGTTGCTTTCCAGTATTCTTGCCTAGCTTGCACCTCTAAGACAAAGTCCCAGGTGGTACCCTAATGAAAAGTGGCACACTAGGTGACCCCCTTTGTTGTTCAAAGCACCAGGCCAAGCAATGTTTCTGTTAATTTTCCTATATGTCTTGAGTGACTTCCAGTGATGACCAGTCCATTCAGTCTGTTGCCACCTTTTCCTTTTGCTCAAGGTGCCCTTGCTGAGCACCTTAGAGCAGTTTCTGCGTTGTCACACTTGTGTGCGTGCAGAAGGCAGTGTTGTGTTCAACGTGCTTGTGCTGCTTTTATACTTGAGTATAAATAAACATTTCTGCTAAGTTAACAGGGCTTAGCAGAAGAAGTCTGCAGCACTAAGTCTGATCCTTCTTTCTACTTTTTGTGTCAAATCTGGTTAGTTTACTAAGAGCTGTTTCTGATTTATGACTGAAGGGGTGAAATGAAAATAGGATGTTGTTGATGAAGAGGACTCAAGTGAACATTTGAACAAATGAGTAAAGGCCAAGGAAATTAGAGAAGTAAAACCAGGCACTAATTCTTTATCTTTGAGCAGTGTTAAACATAAAATACACCGAGTAAATGTGTATGTGTTTTGCATTTGTGTGAGTTTATCTCAGCCTACTCTCTGGAAACTCTTAAGATTATTCTCCTACAAGTTTCCAGACAATGAGCTGCAGGTAACTGTGGGAAACTTATGATCAAGCTGCTCCTTATTGTGCTGCTGTATTCTGGAAGAGCAGACTTGCAACATCTGGCTTTTCTGTTCCTTCCCAGCCCTCCCACTCTAAAACCAGTGCACATCAAGTCAGGTGGCTTTCAAAATTATGAGCTTGTCACTAGATCCTCTTTTCATTGTCCTGTTTGGTGCAACTTTTGAGAACAATATAAAATGGATTTTTAAAGGCTGCAGATGCTGCAGTACATAAGCACTGGGAGATGTAACTATCTACAGGTTTGAGAACTGGAGCCATTGTAAGGTAACAGATACACTGCTTTATTTAAGATGAAAAGTTGTTCTTCGAATAAAAATTGGGTTATGTACTTGGACTATTAAATACACATTTGTTTCAGAAATGCACAAAGTGCTATTTGTGTGCCACTTAGTAAAGTTCACGTGGAAAAGCTGAATCATCCAAGCCATCTGAATGATGCACACTATTCAGTAGTAGTTTTCTTCAGCAGGCAGCTGGTGATCTCTCTTCCTGTATTTGGGGCTTGGGTGGGGGAGGAAAAGGAAGACAGGAGTCTCTGTGGGGGGGAGACCTATTGGTTCATATGTGCAAACTTTATGATTTTCCTGAGAGATCTCTAAATTTGTGGTAAGTTAAAACTATATTTAGAGAAATGAGGAGGCAATATATGTTGCAATTGTGTTATAAAGTGTTTTATTTTAAAGTAATAATGCTTTATACATTTTTTTAAGCATGATTTGCTTGTTATATTTGAAGCAGTGCTTCATGGGGAAGACATGGGAGTTGTGCTAGAGCTGGGGATCGTTCAGACTGGGTGGCTTCTTTGCCTTCTGCTCCCCTCTTGAAATCAGGAGGTGAACTGTGAGATTTGGTGCCTCAGTCAGCAGCCAAAAAATGGTAACTCAATTTATCTCTCGTGCTGCCCCTGTTGTAAACTCTTTAATACCCAATTTACATGTTTACGTACTGAAGCTCAATGGTAGTGAAGGGCTGTTAAATGCTGGAAAAACCCCCAGCTAATGAGTTGGGAGTCTGTCTGAGACAGACAGGTGACAGAGCTGGGGGGGAACAATAGTTTTGCAGACACCCCCACACATAATCCCTGCAACTACATCTTTAGTTTTCCATATATAGGATGTATCTATTTTTCTATGGGATATTTTCTTTATATTGACACTGGTGAAGAAGTGGTTTTTTTATGATCTATCCCTTTGTAACAGTCTGTCTTACCTATTTAGATTGTAAGAAAAATTTTTTTGTAGCAAGCCACATCTTGCAGTTGTAACTGAGCATGCTGGGTCAGGGACTTAATTGGCCTCTATTGTATTTAATAGTACACTTTGAAGGGTCTAAGGAGCAGCAGAATGGAAAAAGCAATGCAGAGAGGCTTTACTCAGATCTCGTTAGCCTGACTTTTCTTTCTTTGTGGTTGTTTTTTTTTTTCCCTAAAGCTGAAGAGGAACACAACCAGCAGGCATTCAAATCTTCTTTTGAATCTATACCAAACTCTGTGATTGAAAGAGAAATGAACTGCCTGGGAACTGATGGCAAATTACTTGTATTTCTAACCAACACAGAACAGAGAAAAAAAAAAAAGGGTCAGGGCTCTTGTTCTCAAGAGATTCTTCAAGAGAGCTTCTCATTGACTCTACTAGGGGGGCACTTCCATTCCTTTTGATGAGTGTTGCTTTAGGACTGGCAATGCCTGCAATAACCTGAAGTACAGGTAGTTCTAATTAGGGGGAAACAGCCCCCTTGCTTAGAAAACATTGGCCTTTGAGGAAATATTAAGTCAAATTATGTTGCATAGTCTTAAGAAAAGGTGACTACATTGGTGTGTTAAGAACAAACATTAAAGATTTATGTAAGAAATTTATGGGACCAGTTTTTATAGGACAAGAGACAATAGGCTTAAATTACAGCAGAGAGCTTGAATTTGGTCAAAAAAACTAATGTCAAGGAGAGTTAAGCGCTGGTTTAAGATACTGAAGGGAGCTGTGGAACCTCCATTATTTGATGTCTTTAAGAACAGGTTAAGCAGCCTCTGTCAAGAATAGCCTGAGTATAATTGATCCTGCTGGGAGGAGCAGACTTAGTGACCTCTTGATGTCTCTACAACCTCATGAATTTGCAGAGATGTGAGTAGACTGTATGTAAGTGCATCCTGGTAGAGTTCATCAAGAACTTTCAGGCCCTTCTGGATAAAAGTCACCATACACGCTTCACCATAACTGTAGTGAAGTTTTGATGTTTAAAGGAGATTGAAGCAATCAAATGAATGCATGAAAAGATTCAGTTCAGTGACACCACACAGGAAAAAAGGGTAGGGAGCAGTAACATACAGAATTATTAATTTTGCGGTTTTGTAGTTATCTAGAATAAAATTGTCATCTTCTTCAATTATGATTGTCATTCCTTCAGCTGAGGTACTTGCAGAACACTGGAAAAACATAGCTATTTATTTTGAAGAACTATGGGTTTTTTTCCCTTAATAAAAGTAAAGTGTTAGGGATGCCACTACACTTCTGAGTTTTAAGGGAAAGCACTTTGATAGATCTAAAAGATAGTTTAGCCTTTGAAAATGAAAACAACAGATTTATAAAATCTGCTCTTTTATACTGCTTCCTTTGAGATGATAGAGTTGAAAGACACATTCCCATACCCTTGGCATTTCTAATATAATCCTTAATTTTTAAAAAGGAAAGTAACTTGCGGACAGACAGGTTAGTTCTGTGCTTTTGGAAGTATCTTGTTTGTGTACATAAGTTCCCTGTTAAACTGCGAAGCAAAACAGTACCCACCTTCATCTTCTTTCAATCAATGGGTGTCCCAGGGATATGAACTTTGGAAAGGCACACAGAGTGAATTATACCAAGAAATTAATTTCTCACACAGTGCGATTTGTCAGTGGCCAGTCTCCAGAAAGCAGCACCAGATGCCCTGAATATTTTGGCATTCAAGTCTGTTGAAATCTCCAAAGAGGAGGAAGTGAAAGAATGGTGGCAAGTCTCTTGCGAGCAGTTTTGGGGATGTGGGACTTCATTTGCACATGAGTGCTACAGCTCTCTTCAACAAAAAGCAGGGTGGGAAGTGGGATAGACTGTATCTCTTCTACCACTCAAAGGACTGAGCCATCTGCTTTTCCATGTCATCACGAAACAGTGTCTGGTCTGCTGTCTTATCTCTTCTGTGGACTATTTATTCTTTCCATAAGTAACACATATGCTTTTTTGGACCTGTCACTAATGCCCTCACTACAATTCAGTGCACATGTAAAGCCAGTAGTTATTTTAGGAAGCAATAGCATCAGATTTCAAAATATATTCTTGGCAAGTTTTCAGATAATCCATTTATATGCAGTTACAGTGCTTTGAAGATATAAAGTGCCACGTTACTGATAAGTACTGATTAGTCATGCAAATAAATGGAAATATTTTAATTAGGGCATTTTCAACATGACTCGTACTGTGGAAAAGAGCCTATATAAACATTAAATAGGTAATTTATTAGTGAGAACAACCTGTGATTAAGGGTGTTGTGTTTTAATTTTTTGGGGGAGAATAATATACATAAAAAGCAAAGTACTAATGCAAGAGAGTAGCAGCCTGATAAGCTAAAAAACAATCACTAATAACCTATGTTTTTCAAAGTATGCATAAAGCTACAAATGAGATGTTTGTGTCTCTTCACGTCTGCTTGAACCACAGTATAATTTTGAGTAAGCTGGAGATGCTTAAATATGTACTGCCTGAAAGGTGGCAGCCTTTCCAGTTGGTCACTTTTAGAGTCTACCTGCATATCCTATGGGACTATAGTAGCTTTGCTGTAGAATTTGTCATCAGTGTTCTGCCAGGACCCTTCCTTCTTGCAGTAAGGCCATGAGGCCTTCTGGTGTCTTGTAGGAGGTGTGTGAAGTGTGGCGAGGTCATTCTGTATCTACTTCATAGTCACTTTTGTATGTATGTGCCATTATGTGTAAGGTGAATTGAAATGGAGGCCAGGATTAAGGAACAGTGTTACGCTATATTTGTTTAGGAAGGCTTTTGAGAATTATAACCAGATCTTTTGTGTTTTTGAATGCAGTTGCACACTACACTGTGGCTTACCTTAGAAAGCAGGATTGTGTGCCTCTGTGATGAGGAATGGAGCAGAATATCAGACTATTGTTATTGATATGCGTGTTTATCACCTTAACAATATATTTGGGTGATGTAAGTGGTGAATGTTTGATGGACTATGGGAATACATCCATGAAACAATTCCTTGTCTCTTTGTTTTTAGTGCCAGGACTTGTTTATAGTGGAGTGTGCCAAAGTTTACCTCCAATTAAAAATCAGGAGAAGCAACAGTTTACCCCATGGTAAACCTTACTATCTGCCAGTTAGTCACAACACCCACAGTCTTTTTAATTGATGAATAAAATGCAAAGTTGTAATGTAACTGGATTTTCCAGTCTGATTTCTTAGTTTCAGTAGAATTTACCTGAGCTTTATAAAAGTATGTAAGTATTTACATGTGTATATGTCTGAGTATATGTATATACCCATGTATTAAATTCTGTTTAAACTACTCATATAATATTTATCAGAGATGTAATGACACAGCTTGTCAGCTCTGTCTTTCAGAGTCAGTCTTTTGCCTTTGCCGAAAACTTTCTCAAAGAGATTAGACTTAAAAACTCTAGTCAAGGCACACGAGTCTGCTGTTGCCATATTTCCCTGTCCACACAGCAAGTCCCCTTACTAAGTGGATAAAACCAGGCGCAAGTGAAAGCTTTAGTGATGCAGCTTGTGTGTAACTTGTCACTTTATGCTTATATAAGACGTATATTTCTCTTGGTTCTTTTTCTTTAAACTGAGAATATACAACAATAAATTTTCACAGTCATTGAAGTTATGATGCCTATTGAGTAAGTATTCAATTCTTTTCATGTCTATCTACACAAAGTTCAGTGCAAAACCTATCATTGATCATTGCTGTTCTCTTGTAGTGTAAGCTGCACTCCGAGTTCGGCTGTGTCTGTGTCTGCCTTTCTAGAAAGAGGTCAAATTAACATTTAGAGTTGTGCTTTGAAAAAAACTGCTGTGACTTCATGACCTTTCTAAAACTGGTATTCTCTGCCTTTTAAGTAGAGACTTTCACTTGAAGGAATTTACAACAGATTTTCTTCTCAATCCTTCACACTTAGAACCTGGCCTCATTCCAGAGCGTAGAAACTAGATTAGTAATTGCCTTATTTACAAGACAGGGTCTCCCCCTCTCTTTGTTTGCTTAACTTGACAGATTGTAGACTATCAGACGCCACTTAACCTTCTTAAAAAAATGTTTTGTTTCAATTCCTTTTCTAATAAGGATCCATGTATTCTCCTGAGAAGCTATCATCAGAATGAACAGAAAAAGTGGATTTTTCTGAATTGAATTCGTAATACCGGAGGATTGTAGTTCACAGGAAAGAGAAAGAAAGCCTGAACCAGAGAAAGTTTGATGTCTGCAGGGTCCATCCACACAGCACTATCGTCGTGTGAGGTGAAAGCAGGCACAGTGTGGTACCACCACTGAACCTCCCTCCTCCAAGATTGGTACCAAGTGAATTCCTAGCACTGGTGCCCGGTGGTATTTTCATCTGT